AGGTCCTTTGCTTCCCCGGGAAGTGGGGGTGCAACCAAGGCCTGAAAGCCCTCTGTCTGGGGGGTGTGGGGGGGGGTGTACTGAGCCAGGGGTAATAGGGGGACTCAGTCACCAGGACACAAGGGCCAGCCTGTGCTCTGGGGCCACCGGGGGAGGAGTGTGCACACTCCAGGGGGCCTGGGGGAGGCCCAGAAGCTCAGCCCGAGTTTGGTGAGCCACAGGAACTGTTGAAACTATGGTGTGTGGAGGCGTGTGACCTCCTGTGACTTCACCCAAGGTCAACAGCCCAAGGCCAATTCCTGGGAGGTGAGGTGAGACCTGCTGGCTCTTTCCAATCTTGTTGGGGTTCCTCCCACCCTCATCCATCACTCACCACCTCTGCTGCGGTGCAGGGACCACACAGAATCACAGACCAAGCTCACGGTGTGGGGCTCATGAGGGAAGCAAGGCGCGATGATTCAGGACCAGGAAGTGGCTCAGGAGACAGTTTTCTGATCTGGCGGATGTATTCTCCCAGCCTGGCCCACAGCTCATGCACGGCTCTCTGCGACCCCAGGCCCACAGCCCCTAGGCTTGGCCTCTGCCTTGCTTGGGCAAGCTCCTGCACCCTTCAGCTCCTCTGTTAGGGGCCCTGGGGGACCTCCTGCCACCGGTAATGCTCCCAATGAAGTCACACAGCTCCCTTGCTTGGTTGTGGCTCAAACATTCAAACGCACTGCCATCAAGTGGATGCCAACTCAGAGCGACCCTACGGGACAGGGCAGAACTGCCCCTGTGAGTTTCCGAGACTGGAACTGCATCTGGGAGCAGAGAACCCCATCTTTCTCCGAACAGCAGCTTGTGAACTACCCGGCTGGGGATGGAGGCTAACGGGGTAACTAACCACCCTTCTCCTCCGGGGTCCTGCTCCCCCGTGTCTCCACGGCTGTGACCCGCCAATCTCCTTAATAGGGTCCCACACACCTCATTTGCATGGCCCCTCCCCCACAAGTGTGCCAGGCGTCTTATCTACATGATGAGTGGGCCATCCCATCCCCGTGGGGGACCATCGGAAGGGAAGTTGTTACGTTTCTCAGCTGGGAAACGCCTTTGGTCCTTGCCTTCGCCGAGGAAGATATTCACGCCGAAACCTGGTTTGTGATCCAAACGGGCTTTTATAAAGGAAAGAAGTTTCAGGCGTCACAGTCACTGAACAGAAGCACCCTCATGACATTGCACACCCACACACGTGGGGACCCGAGGCCCGAGAGAGCTAGAGAAAGCGAGAGAGAGCGAGAGAGACCTCAAGGAGCAGTGGGTAAAGAGGGCCGTGGCCTCCAGGCTCCAGTGGTTAGGGCTCTCTGCTGGGAGGCGTGGTTGATGGTACTGGTTGACCTCATTGGCTGAATTAAGCCCACTTGGCCTAGAGTGGGCCGATCCAGGTGTACCATCCACCTAGGTGTACCGCCCCCACCCCTACCCCCATCCCTGGCTTGGGACCTGAATTTGGACATGCCTTTAGCTTTCATCAGCTTCCAACCTCCTTTAGGGGGCCCCCAGGCATGAAGAGGAGCAACCCCTATCTTGCTACCTAACAAAGTTTGTCTGAGACCTGTGTCCACAGTGGTGGAGGCTGAGACCAGGGGCACCAGCCGCAGTGTGTGGATGGAAACCACGGGGCAGGGCAGAGGTGCCAGGCCAAGACCAGAGGCCCAAGCACGGAGACCACGAGACAGCACAGAGGAGCCACGCCGAGATGATAGGACGCTGAGGCACAGTGATAAAGGGACTTCCTGCCAAGACCACTGAGGCAGAGGCCAAGCGACCTCGTGGCTGAGAGGCTGAAGACAACCAAGAGAGACTCGTCTGCCGCCCGAGGAGTCCTGGGCAGCTGGTTTGGTTGAACAGGCCCCCTTCCTCCCCCACCCCCCCACCCCCGCCCTGCTGGCCCTGGAGCAGAGGTCAGCAGTGCACGGTCACTAAGTGTGGGGTCAACAGGAGGGTGCATTGGTGTGACCCTGGAGTGTAAGCAGGGGTCCCTGACTCGGCTGCTGACCTCCGCTCGCCCTCTGACCCGCAGGGAGACCCTGGTCCACCAGGACCTCCGCCCTCCCTCGCAGAGCGGCCAGCTCTGGAGCGCCGTGTGGAAGCCTGACCAGAGCACCTAGGAGACTCACTTGGCGGCATGGGGTGGGGGTCGGTGGCTTGGTCTGAATTACAGGAGACAATATTCTCACTGCACCCCTGTGAGCCACACAGCCTCGGTTTGATCGTTTCTAAAGCGGGGCCCGGTCTGGCTCACAGGGTGTGGGAGGACCCAGTGCTGGGCAGAGCCCCTGGCAGCAGCTCCTCGGGGGACCCTGCAAGGTGCCACCTGCTCCCTGGGCCACCCCACACTGTTAATTCCTGTTAGCCCCTCTGCTGACGAGGACCCCTCGTCTGGGTCCCTAAGCACGTAAGGTTCGACCCCCCAGCCCCCAACCCCATCCCACCTCCCCCCAGCCAGGTAAGAGGGACAGGAGCCTGGGGACTGGAGGCCTGAAGCACAGGAGGACGGGGGCCAGGTCAGGCTCAGGTCTGGGGAGGTGGAGTGGGCCATCAGGCACAATGCGGCAGGCAGGCGGCACAAGGGTAGGAAGAGGAAGCAGCAGGGGCAGGCTCGCTCGGGGAGCGCCACAGCCGCCTAGGGGGTCAGGCCACCTGGGGCGCGGCCCCGCCCC